AGAAGCAACTTAGAACTGAGGAGAAATTTCCTGACAGTTAGAGCAATTAATCAGTGGAACATCTTCCCTCCAGAAGTTGTGAATGCCCCAACACTGGAAGTCTTTAAGAAGCCATTTGGAGCCAAATGGATAGCCATTTGTCTGAAATGATATAGGGTTTCCTGCCTAAGCAGAGGGTTGGACTAGAAGATCTCCAAGGTCCCTTCCAACTCTGCTATTGTATTGTATTGTATATTCTCAGTGTGCCCAGAGAGAGAAATATCTGCCTTCACCCAGGATTGATTGTGAGGTGAGAGCTCCACCCTTAGGTCACCGTACCACTATTCAAAGTCATGATGATCCTGGAAAAAGTGAGTTGTGACCTTTACTCACACTTATGACCCTCACACCAATCTGGGGTTATGAAATTAAAATTTGGGCGCTTGGCAACCAGATCAATTTGTTGTAAATTCCTACGATATAGGAATACAATTTGCAACCTTCTTTGCCAAAAGTTTCCATCCAAAAACTCCTACGGGGGAAGCTGTATTCGCTTAACAATTATGTGATTCACTAAGGACTGTCCTGATTTGCTAAATGACTGTCATAAAAATTGTCATAACTTTGGATCTATTCATGCCGTTTCCATATTGTGTCTCAACCTAAAATTCAACTAAAAGGTGTCTAGAATAGCTACAGCTTAGCATATAAATTCAGCATTCAGAATTTTGAGTAGCAGAAATGAATTATACCTGCCATGTTGTTATATATCATTGTCTTCATTTAACAGCCCCAGAAATTCCTTGTGGGGTGGACTCTGGACTACTGAATGGGGCTAGCAGAGTGTTTTAATGGCTGGATGCCCTTCTTGTTGCCAATGCAGAGTTTTGTTCAGCTGACTCTGGGCAATTGAATGGAGCTAGCAGAGTGTTTTAATGGCTGGATGCCTTTCCTGTTGCCAATGCGGGGCTTAGTTCAGCAGATATATTCTCAGTGTGCCCCGAGAGAGAAATATCTGCCTCTACCTAGGATCGAACTCACAGCCTCCTGATTGTGAGGCGAGAACACCACCTCTAGGACACCACACCACTCCACCATATGTTATATATGTTACCCCCCAAAAGAGAAACAATTCAATGCTGTATTGATGTTGCTGAAACAAAATCAGTATTTTTATCCATCTCCATTGATATTTACTGCTTGTTCCTAAGAGGATTTTAAAATCCTTCCTTAAGTATGTACAGTAGTAGAATTGACTACCAATCAATTACAGTGGCAAAGCATTGAAACAAGATTTAATGAAGTGCCCTCAATCAGTGTGGAGCATAATAATCACAAGGCTACTTCAGTTCAATCACAGCACAGTCCATAATCCAGGTGTCTTCTCCAGCAAGAGCAGCAACAGAACAAATCTTTCAATGATTGCCACTCAAGGTCAAACCACAGTGGTAATCCACAGTGGTTTTCAAATAACAAAGTGTGTTTCCTCAAATAGCTATAGGGATTCTTACAATGACCCAGGCGCCTGAAGTTTCATTTGCTTCTCACTGAGCAACGTAACTAGGAATTCCAAACTGAACAAGTTCTAATCCACTCAGATATTCCAACAGGAACAGGATATTATAAATGTCTAGAAGCCTTACAGAAAGAATCCAAGGAAAGGAAAGAATTCATCCCATAATGTAACCATGGGTGGAAG